GTTCTCTTATGAAATAATCTGAATTTTACCTCTTCAAACTGTCAAATACGTACTTAAAAAAAAAAAATCCCTACACTATTCACCTGGCCACATCACACATCCACATTAGAGCCACAAACTGTGATGAAGTAAACACTGCTTCATATTTAAGGTGTCGCAACAAGCCATAAAGGTTGGGAACCACTGACCTAAAGGCCCATAGAAAGCAGATAATGAGAGAGAGACAATGACAGCACCCATGATGATTTCACTGAGCGGCAGAGGAACATTTTCTGATTATGGGCTGTTACTAAAATACACTGCCTCGGATGTGAAATGTTTCAAATCAACTGCCTGCTGTTGAGAGCTGTTCATTCATATTCACGGTCATTGTTGGAGGCTTTAACTTGTGGTGCTGTTTAATTGTACTATGCTATAATGAGAGAGATGTCTCAAACATTTAATTTACCCTCAGTGATATGAATATCACAACACATTTAGTTTAACAGGACAAACCCATTTACTGACATTGTTCATCCTGTTTCTGGGTTTAGCAGCTCGTATGACTTCAGTTTAACCTGGAGAATATTCCCATAATAAGTGCAGCCAGGTGAAGCAGTATGAGATGAAGTGGACAGACGGACAGTTTTCTTCCACATTTTCTGCCTCTGAACGGGATGATGCAATGCAGCCAAACGAGAATCCCTCTCTTTAACTGTTTCACTTACTTTAAAAGCGAAAACTGACACCAACACAAACAAAAGACTGACCCTCGCTTAAAAAACTGCGCAACACATCAACAGCGACTCCAGCTAGGAATGAAATAAAAAAAATAAAAAAAACCACAAGACGAAACATTAAATTAAAGCACATAAAGACAGCCACTTTAAACCCCGTTAGCTCCGGAGCTAATAACCCGGTTCCCAACTCACATGCGGCACATGCACTGTTAGCAGCTAAGCGGTGTTCGCCCTTTGACCCGGCAAATACCCGCTTTATCAACAAACACCTCACCTGTGTCATATGGTTACAGGACGATACGCCGGAATGTTCTGCACTGGGAGTGTTTAAGCGTCCAGCTACGTTTCCTTCGGGAGTTTTTTTGTTGTTACAACGAACACGTCGGGCCCCGCTAGCTCGCATTCACGGGTGTGCTAATGTCTCGACCCGGAAAAAGATCGGCCACGGCTTTTCCCTTTTCCGACGTGCGCATGTGCAGAACGCGGTTCGGCTCGGTCACATGACCGGAGAGACCAGCTGACGGACGGAGAAGTCCGGACAAGATCACGACCACCACCTCGAGCTGTGCGCCCTAATCCTGCACGGGAAACAACACGGGTGTCCGTATCACACGCACGGTTTGATAGAGGAGACTCACGGCTAACGTTGCAGTGTTTATTTATATTTATTTATAGTAAACAGAGACCGCAATCATCGACCGAAGGACGAGAAGATGTCGGGAAAAGAGAGAATCGACATATTCCCCTCCAGAATGTAAGCAGCTTGTTTGCTGGCTGGTTGCTAACCCACTGCTTCTGAGCCAGCTGATATAATACCTTATTGTTGACTTACTGCTTATGTGTAGTTATTGTTCGGTCAGTCTCGCACAGAAAGGGATCTCAGTGTTGTTCTGCAGTGTGATTCAGGCCTAAATATAGTTTATATCAGTGCCAGGTTACTGTGTAAAAGAGGAAGAGTCCTTACTTTGTCATGTGATGTTTCTAATATGATGCCAGTGTGAGCTGTCAAATGGTGTCTGAAACATGCTGACCTCCAGACAGTCAAAGTCTTTATTATTATTTTTAACATTTTGTATCTTCAGTATGCTCTGAGCAGTGGAGTTTCCTGTCTAATTTATAGTTTTTACCACATTGATTCAATCATGCCAGCTTTTCTGAAGCCTGTGTGTATGTGAGAGGGGTTTTAATCCTAGAGATGTGTGTTTGACACAGATGAAGCCTGTTCTGATGATGTTCTGAACTCATCAAGAACATTGGTTGCAAATATCAGTGAGTTGGTTGTGAGTGTGGTTCAATGAGTCCCAACCAGGAGTTCTTTAGATACCACAGGGTACATGGACAGATAGTGGAGTACCCGAGCGACTTTGAATTAACAGTTTGTTTGTCTTTTGGAGAAAAATGAACACACAAGTAGGATTGCAAATGTGTGGTATTGATCTTTAGTGTATTTATTGTCACCACTGTCTAAAAAAGTGACAGAGAGGCAATTAGAGGAAAAAAAACCCCACACACCCAAAGTAACAGATAAACTGCCAGTCTGACACAAACCTGAATGAAACCACTGAAACAATAGACCGAGCCTTAACATCATCAACACCAGGATAACTGTGCAGTCATATTATATAAAACAGTTCTATTAAAAGGTACTTGAGCCCATCTGATAGGGCTGAAAGGGTACATCAGACTAAAAGAAGTTTGGGAACCACTGATGTAGACTAATGATGCTGATATTTGTTAGTGGCAACATTTAAAATAAATTGTTAATCCAGCTGTAATAGCGTCTGTGTCAAAGAGTGTGTAAATATTTAATATCTGTAAATATTTGAATCTTTTGGGTACTCGCAGGGCTCAGACCATCATGAAGGCTCGACTGAAAGGAGCTCAGACCGGCCGCAACCTGCTCAAGAAGAAGTCTGACGCCCTCTCCATGCGCTTCCGTCAGATCCTCCGCAAAATTATTGAAGTCAGTTGAAAACTATTAATAACTGGTCATCAATTTCTTTCATAACTCCATTTTCTAAAAGGTGGACTCCTTATATATATTTTTTCCCCTCAGACTAAGACTAAGATGGGAGAGGTGATGAGAGAGGCGGCTTTCTCTTTGGCTGAAGCCAAATTTGCAGCTGGAGACTTCAGGTAAGAATCAGAGTGAGATCTCGTCATGTGGTGTGGTGTTTGGTTCAGATGCGTCTGTAACTCCCGTCTGTAATTCTGTCCGCAGCACAACTGTTATCCAGAATGTCAACAAAGCCCAAGTGAAGGTCCGAGCCAAGAAAGACAACGTGGCAGGTTAGCCTACAAGATATTATATCTGCTTACTTTTTACACTCCCTTTATCACACAAGTTCTTAAACACGGTTTTCTCTCTTTTCAGGTGTCACCCTTCCAGTGTTTGAGCACTACCAAGAAGGCGGAGACAGTAAGTGATGTCTGGATAAAATCAGTGTGTGTGGCTGGTGAATGACGGCGAGACCTCACTCTCACGCTGTGTTTCAGGTTATGAGCTGACCGGTCTGGCCAGAGGAGGAGAGCAGCTCTCCAGGTTGAAGAGGAACTACGCCAGAGCTGTTGAGCTTCTGGTGGAGTTGGCCTCCTTACAGGTAGGGGGCGCTGTTACAAATATGCCGAAGTTCATTCGGCTTAGTTTTTATTATTTTTTAAGAAGAATCTTTAGGTATTTGTATTTAGGTGTTTCCATTTTATACTACTTTTCACTTCTACGTTTGATAGCTAGAGTATTTTTTAACATATCACTGGAACTTGAGTTTGTTGTTAATTAAATAATAGTCAAAGTTACTGCAATTTGTCTGTATTGTCAGTAAGAAAAAGTGTAAAATTCTGACTCATTTTTCCCACTTCCTGTCTGCAGACATCTTTTGTCACTCTGGATGAAGCCATAAAGATTACCAACCGCCGTGTGAACGCTATTGAGCATGGTAAATTCACACTTTTCCCACACAATTGTTGCCTTTTCTTGAAACAATGAAGTACAGAGATTGTCATCGTTGCTCATCTTTATCCCACGTTGCAGTGATTATTCCCCGGATTGATCGCACCCTCACCTACATCATCACAGAGCTAGATGAAAGAGAACGAGAAGAGTTTTACAGGTGAAAACATTTAAAGAACTCTGACCACCTGCGTCATTTACAAATTTACTACCTCAACCTTTTGTTTTTTGTTATAACTCTGATAACATTCCCTCCTCTGCTAGGCTGAAGAAGATCCAAGAGAAGAAGAAGCAGCTCAGGGAAAGGACAGAACTGGAGATTGCTGCCCGCCTGGCTAAACTGGGTCCCATCGCAGAGCCCAGCAACATGCTGATGGAGGAGACAGACGAAGACATGCTGTTCGAGTGAAGCCCTCTAAAGGCAGACGGTCACCGACTCCACCCACCATCCTATTTATTCTGTGCCTCTCTGGCCATGTCAATGTCTTCTCAAGCAAGTGATGGAAGTTTTTTTTTTTTGTGTACTTTGTGATGATTTGTTCTGTTGTTTCAGTGTTGGAAGGTCCTGTGCGTTTGCAGATCTGTCACTGTACAGAGCCAAAGTGTCGTCACACTTGGTTGTTTTACCCACACGGGAGTGAATTCACTATGATAAAATAATCTAAATAATAAGAATATACCTATGTTTACACATGGAGTGCGAAAAGCATTCTGTGTGACGGATCAAACTTGTAGATATTTCAGTTTCCTCACAACATTTAGAGCCATTGCATGCTGTAAAGCTTCAGGTGCTTGTAGATGTCTGAGTGTGTGAGTCTGTGTTGTGGAGGCCTGTCCCGCTGCTGACCTCATGTCACAGGGTTGTTGTTACCTCATTTGAGGATGTTTACCATTGTACCAGAAACCCTAAATAAAACTGTAAACTTGGTGTGCAAGTCAAGAAAGCCCCACACCTCCTCCAAATAAAGATGTTATCAATATCCAATCACTGCCTGGATTTCTTACTAAGGTTAAAAGCTTTTACACACGTCGCAACAGTTTCATAATCAGGCTTTGGGACGTAGAAGCTTTTCAGTTCAGTATGTAAAGAAAAATGGGACTAGGAAACTTTTTGCCCAAGTGTTGAACCCAGCGAGGTGAGGAATGGCAGCCATCTTGCACCAGAACTCCAAATTTAACACATTATTTTTAGTTGCAGCAAGACTTCGCAAGGGGTGAATGACTGCATTTGTGTTGTATCACCAATATTACTAACTGGTTTTAAAATGACGCTCTCTAATATAACAACAATTACAAGGTGAAATCATTGCATTCAGTACGTACATCACTTGTTCACATATGTATCAGATTTTATTAACACTCTTTTCCAGAATTGTGCTTATGATTTAAGTATCTTGCAAAGAAGCAATACCGTATTTGCTGGAGTTACTAAACTAACTCAGCAGTAATTTGCAGCATGATATATTGATAGTAATGATAACCAGCTAGAGACAATACCTTCGATTTGAGGTCTGTTATCACAGCATAAATGAGACATGAGACAACATAAAATAATACTGACACTGGTGTAAAGGAAGCACTCCAAAACTGTGCAGATTACAGCAGATATTTCTTCTGTGTTTCTGACTGGAAGACATCAAACTGCAGCTACTTTAAGCACAAGTGCTTCTCTTCTGTTTGGTACCTGCTTTATCAGAAAGCCATTTTATATTTGTAACATTAACACACTCCGAGTTGAGTGTACTGTTTGGTATATCACACAGACACACAAAATGTAACAATAAAATATCCTTTTGTCTAGAAAATATGTATTTACAATTATAAATAACTATGAAGAATAGGATAGAAATCTTTCTATTTGTTTGATAAATGACTTTGCATAAAACTGAACAAGAACCTTCATAAAACAACCAGAAAAAAAAAGAATCACTCACAAAGACACACACACCAACAAAAAGAACCGTAAGAAACTTGAGTCCATCCCTGCAACATGTGGTAAAGATCACCTCCTCTATAAACGAGGAGAATGTGCACGTGAAAATCCAGTGACAATCAGCACTGTCCATCCATTTGTTTCAGTCTCCGGGGGAACATTCATGTTTGTTCTTCTGTTTACCTCCTTCTACCCTGAGGCTCCCCACAGTGAGACCCTGTGACCTCTAGCACAGCCAGGAGGTGGGCACCCACTGTGGCTCAGTGTCCAGCTTGTCTATCAGCCTGCGCAGCTCGTAGAAAGCCTGGTCTGGATCCATGTTCACAATGGTTGCATCAAACAAGTGGCCAAAATTGTGCTCCATCTCGCGGGCCTTTTCAATGACCTCCTTAAGCTCTTCAGGCTGTGTACAGAAAACAAGACATTGCTTTTTAGTCAGTGAGAGGGTGGCGATATAAATCTTTAATGCTTTTTAATTTATGATATGAATATTTTGTTATCATTGTGATAGCTGTGTTGGTTATTTCATGATGTGATGCAGTATTGTTTATTTCCGGTGTACTGTGTATTTAGAGCTGTGGTTCCCAACCATTTTCCTTAAGGGACCCCTTTTCCTGTCATTAAGTAAACTGACTCAGTGACATATTTGATGGATATTTCATATTATATTTAATGCATAACAATAACAGTAGAGAACAACTGATAAACTGTACAACAGGGTACACAGTAATGGCAGGAAGTTTGTGTAAAACGAGAGATTAGGATGCATTTTGAGCAGATTATTTCCTGTGAATATTGATCAGAGATGAGTTTTCCTGATATTTTTAAACAAATATCTGTCTGGATTATGTTTTTTTTTTTCACAATCATACATAGGCTTTTTTTTTTTTAACAAATTCAGTGTTTTCTTCTCATTGTTCTATTAGCTCATTGGTTGTTTTCTAATGCAGGACGAGGCTCTGTGAATATAGCTTGTGTTCAGGTCTTCAAAGTTTAAATATTAAATAATAATCTAAATTAAATTAAAAAATAACAATTTAATTTTGTTTTCCACACAGAAATGGACAAAATGCTGAGATATAGGCTACTGTGTATAGTTTTCTTTCACAACATAAAATCAAGAAGGCCCGTGACTAGACCAAAAAGGGCTTTTAATATAACATAATTCCTTGCCGAGTGTCTGAAGAACATTTTATTCTCTGTGATGAATCTTAAATTGCAAACTATGACATTTAAAACGTGCATACTAATTTTAAAGAGTAAAACACAATTTAGAGACAGTGGGTACCTTTGGTGTTTTCCCCTCTGTGGCCAGCAGGGTGCGCAGTCGTTCTTGAGAAGGAGGAGCGATGTAGATGACATAGGGCTTGAGGTTGGAGGATCTCAATACTTGCAGTGACTGACAGGAGGAAGAACAGGGACAAATTAATACATTAAATGATTACATGAAAACCAAAATAAAGAAAAAACAGGACTAAAAATACACCAAGCCAAACACTGCTATGGCGTCTTCTTTACTGACTGTTTAATCAACCAAAAACCGATTTGAGATTTACGTTCAGGACACGAAAAAGATGTAATTATGTTCTTGCGAAGCCACACTGGTTAAGATCAAGAGAGTGGGATGAAATGGGCTTTGTAATTAACATGTTAAGACAGAAACAATGTTGAGTCCAGGCAGTAACAAGTGCTCAGTCTCCTACCCTGGTGTGGAGGCAGAGCAAACAGATGCGTCCGGAGTTGATGACGTGTCGAACTGAGTCGGTGCTGGTGCCGTACAAGTTCTTCTCATATTCCCCGGACTCAATGAACTTCCCTGTCGCCAGGTCGGCTTCGAAGGCAGCCCGACTCACAAAATTGTACTCGCGCCCATTCCGCTCATGTATCCTTGAGTTTCTGGTTGTGTCTGAGCCGTGACAAAGAATAAATTAAATTTGACTTGTTGGGAAAAATCCTCAAGGTAAACAGCACAGATCACGCATCAAAAATACACAGCAAGTCCTTTTTATGTGTCTGTTGTAAACTGTGCAGTCACAGTTGCATAAAGGTGATGTTATGTGTCAAATGATTTAAATTCTTTGCAAATTCACACGTTCTGTTCCTTGTCTGAACTCATGAAGTGTTTATGAATATTTGATATTGCCGTGTCCCTGTTCATTGACTTACGCGGAACAGCAACAGCAAACTTTTCCGGTTCAATGGACAGAAGCCTCCGACGCAGCTCATCGTGTCCGCTGTTTGTAGGACCAATCAGAGCGATGGGGCGTTTGCGGCTGGCAGGCTGGTGATAAAGAGACATCTCCTCGTAGGTCGGGATGTCATCGCAATCTGAGGAGGCAGCCGGGGGGAGGGTTAATGAAACATCCCCAATCAACTCAACAAATCCTTTCTAGCTCTTGGGATGCTGTTCTGTAAGCAACCATGACCTCTGACCCCTCTTTGGAGGCAGGAAAGAGGTGAGAGGAGATCAGTATCGTACCAAACTACTATATTATTATCCCTGTGTCTTTTCTGTCGTGCAAAATTTTTTCTCTCAGCTACACATAAAGTCTGCTACTGCTGGCCACTGAATAGTGTGTGTGTGTGTGAACCTGAGTATATATGTGTTTCTATGTGTGAACCAATAACACCATAGTTCCCTTCAAGCCATTTAGGCACCTGCTGGGCACCTGTTGGTGCCTCCTCTGATCCCGTCTGTGGAGACAGGATTAATCTGACCTGTGACACACCGAGCCGCGACAAGCTGCTGCGAGAACGACAAGACATGTCAACTCCAGCTAACGTGTGGGGTTAATACTGACAATGTGTGGGCACTTGGAAACTGGCCAGGACAGAAACAAGTCTTTCACTGGTGGTAAACAAGAAGTGACAATTGGGAGTCTAGTGGGTTAAGGGTGTAGCTTCAGTGGTTGTTGAGGAAGAGGGAGCACATTCTCAACCGACTT